CACCGCAGATCAACGTCAATTATGGGACAAACTCTCAACTATCGCAGCGCAACTAGAAGAACACGAGCAGCACCTCAGCAATCAGATAACAATCCAAATCTTTCTCCAGAAGTTTCACGTACGCATCAGGAAAGCAGCTATGGAGAAACGACTTAGACACAAAGAAGAAAACAATAGCGAGTGGACATTGGACCAATGGCTCGACGCCATTGATGACGTCATATCACAAGAGGAACAGATAAACCACATGCTCTCGATTGAAACACAAACAAGAAATTATTCGAACCACGACACGATGGCGACAAAACCATCAGGAGCAACTGATAGATGGAAAGCAAGCAACCTATGTGAGCGCTGTGGAGGGAACGGACACAGGTGGACAAATTGCCCGCAGATTCCCACAGCAACACAGAAAAAACGCTTCTTATTGGAGTCCAACAGATGCCCCATTTACCGAATTTACTGCAAAATATGATGACTTCATAGCAAAGCCGGATCTGAGTCGAAACGAATTTGCTTCAAGGAACGAAGGCAAAACTATACACAAGGCATGGCGGGAGTTTCTGAACTTTAAAGAAGATGTCAAACGACAGCAGCAAGAAATTCTAGACTCGATACAAAAGATGAGCCAGTACTTCGAAACCTTCAAAGCATGGGGTATGAAGAATGGAACCGACGCCATCCAACAAGAGATCCAAGAGGAGGATCAGAAGGCACAAAGGAGAACTGCTCTCGCAAAACATTCATCAAAACTGGCTATGAAGGAAAAAGCGGAAGTGCAAAGGCGATACAGGACGCAAAGCAGTAGTGAAAAAAGGCGAAGGAACATCCAACCGGCTCCTACACTATCACAAAAACAAGAAGAAAGCAAAAGAAGTAATGCCAAATGCAAGAGAAAGCACACACTAAAAGGAAGTTTTTCCTACGATGAAGAAGGAAAACAAAAGAACATCGCACAACGTCAACGACAGATGAGGAAAATTGAGCAGAATCTGGATCATTTCTCCTGCACAGGAAGACGCTCTGACGTGAATGTGAACTGCCATGGAACTCGAAAACAGCATATAGATGCCTGCTTGAATTTGCGTAGTGACACAAGAAGAATCGACGTTCAGCACGGAAGCAAACTTTGCCGATGTGTCGCAGTCCGTCACACTGAGGACCACACAGAAGAAGCTTCATGTTTCTATCGTAGAAACACCAAAAGTGACGCTGTCATACTTAACCACCATGCTATCTGCGGGTTGCTTGAAGAAATTGCCCACAAGCAACGAAAACTTATGCGTCAGGCGAAGAAGGTCAAGGACAACATGAAAATAATTTCCAAACGCACACTACTGTGGGACGAGAAGAAAGGAGTGGCGTGGAGTGCGAAGAAAGGAAGACTAAAGGCAAACAGTGCATTTCAGACCCAGTCAATCTGATCTCTCTTTGCGAGGCCGGAGTATACGAAATCCGCCATTCGTATTATTCTTCTCTGTCCCAAAATGCGAGGATTATTTGAACTTGTTTGTGTGGTTGAGTAATTTTTTGCCTCGTACAGCAAAGATGAATTTAGTAGCTAGCACTGTTTTTGCTGTTGTAGGAATGTGCAGATGTTAGCATCAGATGTGATTTTCACCATTTCTTTCGCGTATCTGTGAATTCATGCACAGCTGTGCCTAGACGATTTGGTTTCAGGCATATAAGTAGCTGGCAGTGCACAGTCAGAGTCAGTCGCCATACAGTTTTCGCCTCTTACTTCAACATTAGTTTGAATCATCATTTGTGCCTTCTTCCAGCCATATCATTCCTATTTGTAGTTCATCATTTAGTAATATCATTTTGTTATTTATTCTATCCGTGTTGTTGTTGTTATTCTTGTTACCCAGATAAAGTTTAATTACCCAAGTTTGAGGTGTGCTCGTGCGTATACGAAGTCCCGCGTGGCAGTACTTTTGGTTGTGGTTTGGTATTCGAAGCCTTATAGTTCTGATATATCCCCACCACCAACCAACACAAGTGGTGCATCGACCAAATCAAGAGGTACCTTTTATTGCAGAAGATAAAGTGTGTCTCGCTTGCTTTGCACGATACGCTTTGATTGTTGCACGATAGCGGATCACCTGCACATACTGGAATTGCACAGAATTTCTTTTTGCCTGCACTTCCATAATGACAACTACAGTAAGAGCGTACAAGGGACTGATGACCAAAAGAAGCCAAGTCGCTCTGGCATGGTTGGAAGAATCCACACAGCGTCTTCAACACCTGAAGGAAGAAAGCACACAACAAGAACAAGTCAAGGAATTCACAATGACTGTGGCGAGGTGCGACGAGTATCTGGAACTTCTCGAAGCATCCTTAACCAAACTCACGGAAGCTTTCGATAAACTTCAGGATACCACAGGCGAAGAAGAAGATCAGTTAGACAAGCACGCGGAGATTGCTCAAGAGACTATCATGAAGTTATACGCACACAAATCCAATACCAAGCAGATGCTACAAGAAATAACGACGGCAGCTACGCTCCGAACAAGTGGAACCGACCACCAATGTTCTGCAGCAGTCAGCAAACTTGCAACTATACCTATCCCAAGCTTCACAGGAAAGAAATGGGAATGGGACAACTTCTGGGCCATATTCAAAGCCAACGTACACGACCAGGAACTAACGGAATTGCAAAAATTCAACTATTTACTGTCAGCCCTGAGTGGGAAGGCGAAGCAATCGATCTCGCGATTCTTCATATCAGCAAGCAATTACGAAAAAGCCATACAACATTTGACGAAACGCTATGGTAACAAAGATGGCATTATACTGGAACTGAACAAAAGTCTACACAACTGCTTGGCAAGAGGACCTACCACCGCAGATCAACGTCAATTATGGGACAAACTCTCAACTATCGCAGCGCAACTAGAAGAACACGAGCAGCACCTCAGCAATCAGATAACAATCCAAATCTTTCTCCAGAAGTTTCACGTACGCATCAGGAAAGCAGCTATGGAGAAACGACTTAGACACAAAGAAGAAAACAATAGCGAGTGGACATTGGACCAATGGCTCGACGCCATTGATGACGTCATATCACAAGAGGAACAGATAAACCACATGCTCTCGATTGAAACACAAACAAGAAATTATTCGAACCACGACACGATGGCGACAAAACCATCAGGAGCAACTGATAGATGGAAAGCAAGCAACCTATGTGAGCGCTGTGGAGGGAACGGACACAGGTGGACAAATTGCCCGCAGATTCCCACAGCAACACAGAAAAAACGCTTCTTATTGGAGTCCAACAGATGCCCCATTTACCGAATTTACTGCAAAATATGATGACTTCATAGCAAAGCCGGATCTGAGTCGAAACGAATTTGCTTCAAGGAACGAAGGCAAAACTATACACAAGGCATGGCGGGAGTTTCTGAACTTTAAAGAAGATGTCAAACGACAGCAGCAAGAAATTCTAGACTCGATACAAAAGATGAGCCAGTACTTCGAAACCTTCAAAGCATGGGGTATGAAGAATGGAACCGACGCCATCCAACAAGAGATCCAAGAGGAGGATCAGAAGGCACAAAGGAGAACTGCTCTCGCAAAACATTCATCAAAACTGGCTATGAAGGAAAAAGCGGAAGTGCAAAGGCGATACAGGACGCAAAGCAGTAGTGAAAAAAGGCGAAGGAACATCCAACCGGCTCCTACACTATCACAAAAACAAGAAGAAAGCAAAAGAAGTAATGCCAAATGCAAGAGAAAGCACACACTAAAAGGAAGTTTTTCCTACGATGAAGAAGGAAAACAAAAGAACATCGCACAACGTCAACGACAGATGAGGAAAATTGAGCAGAATCTGGATCATTTCTCCTGCACAGGAAGACGCTCTGACGTGAATGTGAACTGCCATGGAACTCGAAAACAGCATATAGATGCCTGCTTGAATTTGCGTAGTGACACAAGAAGAATCGACGTTCAGCACGGAAGCAAACTTTGCCGATGTGTCGCAGTCCGTCACACTGAGGACCACACAGAAGAAGCTTCATGTTTCTATCGTAGAAACACCAAAAGTGACGCTGTCATACTTAACCACCATGCTATCTGCGGGTTGCTTGAAGAAATTGCCCACAAGCAACGAAAACTTATGCGTCAGGCGAAGAAGGTCAAGGACAACATGAAAATAATTTCCAAACGCACACTACTGTGGGACGAGAAGAAAGGAGTGGCGTGGAGTGCGAAGAAAGGAAGACTAAAGGCAAACAGTGCATTTCAGACCCAGTCAATCTGATCTCTCTTTGCGAGGCCGGAGTATACGAAATCCGCCATTCGTATTATTCTTCTCTGTCCCAAAATGCGAGGATTATTTGAACTTGTTTGTGTGGTTGAGTAATTTTTTGCCTCGTACAGCAAAGATGAATTTAGTAGCTAGCACTGTTTTTGCTGTTGTAGGAATGTGCAGATGTTAGCATCAGATGTGATTTTCACCATTTCTTTCGCGTATCTGTGAATTCATGCACAGCTGTGCCTAGACGATTTGGTTTCAGGCATATAAGTAGCTGGCAGTGCACAGTCAGAGTCAGTCGCCATACAGTTTTCGCCTCTTACTTCAACATTAGTTTGAATCATCATTTGTGCCTTCTTCCAGCCATATCATTCCTATTTGTAGTTCATCATTTAGTAATATCATTTTGTTATTTATTCTATCCGTGTTGTTGTTGTTATTCTTGTTACCCAGATAAAGTTTAATTACCCAAGTTTGAGGTGTGCTCGTGCGTATACGAAGTCCCGCGTGGCAGTACTTTTGGTTGTGGTTTGGTATTCGAAGCCTTATAGTTCTGATATATCCCCACCACCAACCAACACAAGTGGTGCATCGACCAAATCAAGAGGTACCTTTTATTGCAGAAGATAAAGTGTGTCTCGCTTGCTTTGCACGATACGCTTTGATTGTTGCACGATAGCGGATCACCTGCACATACTGGAATTGCACAGAATTTCTTTTTGCCTGCACTTCCATAATGACAACTACAGTAAGAGCGTACAAGGGACTGATGACCAAAAGAAGCCAAGTCGCTCTGGCATGGTTGGAAGAATCCACACAGCGTCTTCAACACCTGAAGGAAGAAAGCACACAACAAGAACAAGTCAAGGAATTCACAATGACTGTGGCGAGGTGCGACGAGTATCTGGAACTTCTCGAAGCATCCTTAACCAAACTCACGGAAGCTTTCGATAAACTTCAGGATACCACAGGCGAAGAAGAAGATCAGTTAGACAAGCACGCGGAGATTGCTCAAGAGACTATCATGAAGTTATACGCACACAAATCCAATACCAAGCAGATGCTACAAGAAATAACGACGGCAGCTACGCTCCGAACAAGTGGAACCGACCACCAATGTTCTGCAGCAGTCAGCAAACTTGCAACTATACCTATCCCAAGCTTCACAGGAAAGAAATGGGAATGGGACAACTTCTGGGCCATATTCAAAGCCAACGTACACGACCAGGAACTAACGGAATTGCAAAAATTCAACTATTTACTGTCAGCCCTGAGTGGGAAGGCGAAGCAATCGATCTCGCGATTCTTCATATCAGCAAGCAATTACGAAAAAGCCATACAACATTTGACGAAACGCTATGGTAACAAAGATGGCATTATACTGGAACTGAACAAAAGTCTACACAACTGCTTGGCAAGAGGACCTACCACCGCAGATCAACGTCAATTATGGGACAAACTCTCAACTATCGCAGCGCAACTAGAAGAACACGAGCAGCACCTCAGCAATCAGATAACAATCCAAATCTTTCTCCAGAAGTTTCACGTACGCATCAGGAAAGCAGCTATGGAGAAACGACTTAGACACAAAGAAGAAAACAATAGCGAGTGGACATTGGACCAATGGCTCGACGCCATTGATGACGTCATATCACAAGAGGAACAGATAAACCACATGCTCTCGATTGAAACACAAACAAGAAATTATTCGAACCACGACACGATGGCGACAAAACCATCAGGAGCAACTGATAGATGGAAAGCAAGCAACCTATGTGAGCGCTGTGGAGGGAACGGACACAGGTGGACAAATTGCCCGCAGATTCCCACAGCAACACAGAAAAAACGCTTCTTATTGGAGTCCAACAGATGCCCCATTTACCGAATTTACTGCAAAATATGATGACTTCATAGCAAAGCCGGATCTGAGTCGAAACGAATTTGCTTCAAGGAACGAAGGCAAAACTATACACAAGGCATGGCGGGAGTTTCTGAACTTTAAAGAAGATGTCAAACGACAGCAGCAAGAAATTCTAGACTCGATACAAAAGATGAGCCAGTACTTCGAAACCTTCAAAGCATGGGGTATGAAGAATGGAACCGACGCCATCCAACAAGAGATCCAAGAGGAGGATCAGAAGGCACAAAGGAGAACTGCTCTCGCAAAACATTCATCAAAACTGGCTATGAAGGAAAAAGCGGAAGTGCAAAGGCGATACAGGACGCAAAGCAGTAGTGAAAAAAGGCGAAGGAACATCCAACCGGCTCCTACACTATCACAAAAACAAGAAGAAAGCAAAAGAAGTAATGCCAAATGCAAGAGAAAGCACACACTAAAAGGAAGTTTTTCCTACGATGAAGAAGGAAAACAAAAGAACATCGCACAACGTCAACGACAGATGAGGAAAATTGAGCAGAATCTGGATCATTTCTCCTGCACAGGAAGACGCTCTGACGTGAATGTGAACTGCCATGGAACTCGAAAACAGCATATAGATGCCTGCTTGAATTTGCGTAGTGACACAAGAAGAATCGACGTTCAGCACGGAAGCAAACTTTGCCGATGTGTCGCAGTCCGTCACACTGAGGACCACACAGAAGAAGCTTCATGTTTCTATCGTAGAAACACCAAAAGTGACGCTGTCATACTTAACCACCATGCTATCTGCGGGTTGCTTGAAGAAATTGCCCACAAGCAACGAAAACTTATGCGTCAGGCGAAGAAGGTCAAGGACAACATGAAAATAATTTCCAAACGCACACTACTGTGGGACGAGAAGAAAGGAGTGGCGTGGAGTGCGAAGAAAGGAAGACTAAAGGCAAACAGTGCATTTCAGACCCAGTCAATCTGATCTCTCTTTGCGAGGCCGGAGTATACGAAATCCGCCATTCGTATTATTCTTCTCTGTCCCAAAATGCGAGGATTATTTGAACTTGTTTGTGTGGTTGAGTAATTTTTTGCCTCGTACAGCAAAGATGAATTTAGTAGCTAGCACTGTTTTTGCTGTTGTAGGAATGTGCAGATGTTAGCATCAGATGTGATTTTCACCATTTCTTTCGCGTATCTGTGAATTCATGCACAGCTGTGCCTAGACGATTTGGTTTCAGGCATATAAGTAGCTGGCAGTGCACAGTCAGAGTCAGTCGCCATACAGTTTTCGCCTCTTACTTCAACATTAGTTTGAATCATCATTTGTGCCTTCTTCCAGCCATATCATTCCTATTTGTAGTTCATCATTTAGTAATATCATTTTGTTATTTATTCTATCCGTGTTGTTGTTGTTATTCTTGTTACCCAGATAAAGTTTAATTACCCAAGTTTGAGGTGTGCTCGTGCGTATACGAAGTCCCGCGTGGCAGTACTTTTGGTTGTGGTTTGGTATTCGAAGCCTTATAGTTCTGATATATCCCCACCACCAACCAACACAAGATGGAAGAATTTTGGATTCATCCCTTTCTTTCATATCGGAATACAAATCTCGTATGAGAGGTCGTAAAAATCTGGCTTTGCGTACTAGTTTGAACACTCTCTAGTCGAGAAATCTAAGGTCAGTAGGGAATGGGGACATTTTCTGAAGTATTTTACTTTGCATATCATTGAGCTAGAATACGATTTCTAAGTTCAAGAAAATGGTCAAGACGGACCGAAAGCGATTTTATTTGAGTCAGATGTGGGCAAAGGACGCAGAATTAATGCTCTGACACAGATTTTACCAAAGAAAAGTGAACACCCTGTCGAACTCTGAAAGTGAGAAGACAGTTGTCCACTACTGCGCAAAATCGTACACAATTGCGAAAGCAAACAGGCTTAAAGTGAGAAGCTGCTTACTAACAATAAGCATGTAGTTGTGTTACTTCATTCTTTAGAGATTGGCCGTTGATTGGCAGGTCCGGTGGCCGGAGCAGATGTGCAGGGACGATAATTCCGTTAGCGACCGGTAGCACTTAGAAGTTACAAACTAACGCGCTTAGCGCCGGTGGTCAAAACAACTACATGCTTACTATGGAACAACAAAAACACACAAGTGCATAGTCACCAGCTGTGACGCAATAAACTCGCTATTGAACGAAGGTTGTAGGAAGAGAATGCCGTAAAATGTTCCCTTGCGCGATTACTCGCTCGGAAGCATTACAAAAACTTTATCAGTGATTGGCAACTGAACCCTTAGTTGGAAAATGCAGATTTTTCATTGCGGTTTTATCGCATTTATGCAGACTCACAGACATGCCAAACTTCTTCCAAGATTGTCCTGTGCCCCTGGAGGAGTCAAAACTGTTCACTTAGCATATGCATGTTAATAAGAATATTTGAATCAAGTTGGAACAGGAAGGCTTGTGCGCATAATCTCAGTAGTTCCATGCAATTTGGCAGATTGCCAGACCCTCCAAATTCACCATAAACTTCAGATGCACAGTGTGTATAACTCCGTAATGGTGAAATGTCCCTATATTCCGCTTGATCAAAATGCTGTGATATGAATACGAATATTACAATTATTGAAAAATCTCATCCTGGAATCGCAAAATGGTCAATTCAAATTTTCTAAACGAGGGTATGCCCAAACCTAAAACATCAAGATCCACGATTACTGCTCCAAGAAATCTTCGCGCTAACATTCTGTAAGACTTTGCATCATATGAAACTGTTTTTTTTTTTGCCACGCAACTTTTTCCCTACGTTTTCGAGTCTATGTTGGTATCACAGCCATTACAAACATAAGCAAAAAAGTTCTATGGAATATGTAGATGACTACGCAAATGATCAGATAAGTAGTTGAAGTAGTCGTGAAAACACCATTGAGAGACTCTACATAGGAGTATTATTCCGATCCTGAATTTTCAAATTCTGCCCAATCTTCAAGCCGTCGTTCATGAAATACCTGATTTTCAATATTTTACCTTAGGTTTGCATGTGCAAACGCTACGCTCTCCAGTACATACTCTGTAGCCTTCGACAAATTCCGAAAACTGTCTCATCAGCAATTGTTGATGTCCCTTTGTGAAAATATTTACAAACTACAGTATGCTTGCTGGAATGCGCTGTCGCTGAACCAAATATTGTTACAATAGCTTTAAACTGCAGTTTACCCAAATGATCAGTCATGTATAGTACACAATGGTTAGGCACTACTTGTTTGTCAGTGAGTGTGCACGAAGCTGCCTGCTGGACACCGAATTTGCAACCTTCCACTCACTAGGAACACGTTTCCGCTGTGGTCGACCGCGCTGACACACGCACACGACCCCTGCTTCGGAATGCGGCGAAACAATTCTTGCAGTAATTACCCCCCTCAAAGAACTAATTTATATGTTTATTTGCCTACAAATATACAGTAAGTGAGCTCATCACGCCTCAAAATACGCACAACAGAGGAACAAAAAGGAAAATAGGAGACAAGGATAACTCATAATGAAAAGCGAATAGCTACGCTAACGAGGAAATGGTCAGAACTTAACTCAGCCATTCCAAACAAGCTGTATATCATCGACTCTTGAAACGCTAATTTCAAATACATGCTTCTTCATATGCCAAGCGACTATCTGGGAGGAGTTATAAGCGTTCAAATACGAGAAATTTTTTCGAATTTCGACGGATGTATTCCTTGAAAGGTAGCCCGATGGCGCGGGTCTGCAGTAGCTATGGTTATTTTTATCTTATGTATAAAGCTGAATGTCTGTTTGTCTGTCTGTCTGTCTGTATGTCTGTACGTATGTTCCGAATAGAAAATTCCATTTCTGAACCGATCCGGACCAAACTTGGCGCACATACACTTCAGGCCCCGGCAGGTGTCATAGGCTACTTTTCGTCATCGATCGATACCGATTTTATCGATTTTTTGCAAAATTTGAGCTACGGGGTTGGGAGTTGGCACAAGGGGGTCGAGCATGCTGATTACGAATATAATAATGACAGGGCCGGGCGGAGCCGGTTAAGTCAACTAGTTACAAATAAATTAATTCAGGTTAAGTTAGTTGATCAATTGATTAGACTTGAATTGATTTATTTACGCATTAATTACAATCACTTGACAAATCACACATTTAAACGCTCATAACTCCTCTCAGATAGTTGCTTGGCAGATAAGAAACATATATGTGTAATTAGCGTTTCAAGCGAGTCCGATGATATACAGCATGTTTGATATGGCTGGGTTGAGTTCTAACCATTCCATGCTAAGAATTCTATATAAATCAGTTATAGAACTTTTCCTGAAACGTGTAGCTGTTAATTAGTCAAAGGGTGATTAAAGCTATTGTAGCCATCTCGCACATCAGAAATTGTTCTTGTTAGGTAAGGGAAACATTTTTTTTGCTGAAAGCAAGCAACGGCCTTAGCAGCTTCAATCGCCCAATGCCTGATACAGCTTGTTTATTTTGCCAGTTGATGTTGGCACAAAAACAGCATAATCCCAAGGCGTCTTCAAAGTCAAAATTGGTCGCCATTTGGCACTCACCGTGTCAACAGTACCATATTTTCGTTGGTTTGCAAAAATGCGTAATAGTTGCACCTATACACCTATACAGAAACATGTTTTTCAATTGAACATCAATTCAAGCAAAATCGCACCACCCGGTAACATGTGACTATTAAAATCAGCAGAAGTCCACGCATGCTAAAGAAAGTTGAATTTCCATCCGGAGTCAATCACTGATTGCAGAATGCGTAAAGTATATTCAACAGCAACAATTAGGACCATGCGGGCAAAAGTATTTTGCTCAAGTCAATAGTAACCTACGGTTTGCATAAAATTCCCATACCTACGACACCCGTGGACAAATAGGCTAAACAAATCAGATACCAACTGTTTACAACTTTTCATAAAAGAGCAGAAGGATGACTAAAAAAATTGCGACGGTAGTAGGTAAGTCTAAAGACCCTTTTCACCTAAATCCCCCCCCCCCCCCCAAGATTCTTGTAAGCAGCGCTTTCACTTTTAGAAAAAAAATTTTCAAACCTTTTTTGCTCATATTTTCTTTAGTTGAAATTCTAGAATGAAAAAAGTAATTGTTTCCCTGTGTTATGTTTCGACAACAGTCCCTTATGCACAGCACGATTTCTGTCATCTATGTTATGAAAACTATGTCGACTTTTAGAGTAAGAAACGAAGACAGAGGCAATGAATAACAAAACACTTATCACAGGCATATCGAGAAGACTCACGCGTTGTTCCACTGGCCAGCAAGTGCCTAAAACAAAAGCAGCAAAAAGTTGGCATGAAAAACCTTTAGGAATGCACTTCGAACCAATTTGATGGGCGAAGCTACAGTAATCCTTGCGTAAGCCCGTTGCCCACGTCCAAGTCTGGTTTCATTGTTCGGTTACGATATCACTTTACCCCCCCCCCCCCGCCACAAAAATGCCATGAAATCTTTGAAATGGTCTGCATGAATTACATTGTACGGGTGACTTGATCCTTATTACACACAAGTATAACAATTTTTCAAATATATTAAAAATTATTGGGGACGTGCCTAATGTCAGCCCCGTCATTCCGAGAAACTTCTAAGACATGGCTGGAGAATAATTTTGAGAGATCATTTTTTCATACTCAAGCTCCACCTAATGCTAATAAATGATTGTGATGGCATACAAGTTATTTTGAAGCACGTCGGTCTTGTAGCTTTCAAGTTTTCAACTCCATTAAGGAATGCTACCGGAGCTATTAGTTTTAGATTGATGGATGGCTACCTATGGGGCTCCTCCCCCTGGGGGTTCTGCTTGGAGCCATTGCTGGAGTTGTTGGTTTAACTCATTTGCACTCACTTACCTGAGTCTATGGTACTTGTATTAACATTCTTTATTTTTTTCTCCAACAAAAATATTCTGGAAGGTCCGACCGAGGCTTATAAG